AGAAATAGTAGCAGTCACAACAGCTGCAAGTAACTGAACTTTTTGTTTACTATTCATACGACCCAAACAGGTGGACACTAATACCACTATCTCCATTTTACAGACGGGAAGGTGAGGCCCCTGGGTGACTCCCCTATTTCCCAAGTCACCTGGCCGGGAAGCGGGGAAGAGATTTAACACAGGAAGGGAAACTGCAGAGTCTGGGTGCTTATTGCCACGCTATGCTGCCCACGCAGCCTCTGCTTGAACAAGGAGCACTGAGCAGGCACTCCAGAAATCTCTGCTGAATGGGGAATGAGTCATTTGCAAGTTTTCTTCATCTGACTCTCTTAAACGTGGCCCCTTCCATGGGTGATGGGTATTGAAGAGGGCATCTTTTGGGATGAGCACTGGGTGTTGTATGGAAACCAATTTGACAATAAATTTCATATATTAAAAAAAAAAGGAAATAGTTTGCTATAACTGTCAAAAAAAAAAAAAAAGTGGCCCCTTCCCTGTTATCTCAGTATCTGTGTCTCACTTATGATGTTCTAATAGTCTCCTTATGAGCCTTCCTTCCTTCAATTTCTCCTTCCACCAACCCAAAGCCCCCCTTGCTAGAAGAGTTATTTTTCCAACAGCAAATTTTCTTTTTTTTTTTTAATTTTTTTTTCAACGTTTATTTATTTTTGGGACAGAGAGAGACAGAGCATGAACGGGGGAGGGGCAGAGAGAGAGGGAGACACAGAATCGGAAACAGGCTCCAGGCTCTGAGCCATCAGCCCAGAGCCTGACGCGGGGCTCGATCTCACAGACCGCGAGATCGTGACCTGGCTGAAGTCAGACGCTTAACCGACTGCGCCACCCAGGCGCCCCTCCAACAGCAAATTTTCATGTCACTGCCTTGCTTAAACTCTTCAGTGACTCCTCACTTCCCAGGGCAGAAAGCCTAACTCCTCAGCAAGGCTCTCTGGGCACCTCCCAAATCCAGCCCCACTCGCCTCCCCAGTCTTATCTACCACCCCTCCCTACACCTCTCAGCTCAGGCCACACTGACCACCTGCAGCTTCCTCAACGGGCCACACTCACCATTGGGGTGCCCTTGACCCATGACCTAGGGAATGGATCTCCTCCCACAGTCCACGTTTCTGTTTGCATGTGCGGTGGTTAAAAGCCTAGGATGCATGGTCAGACCGCCCAGGAGTAAATCCTAGATCTTCTGCTTACTAACGGGGTGACCTTGAGCACATAACCTCGCTGCCTGATGCCTCTGTTTCCATGGGCACAAAAGACTATCCTTGTAGAACGGTTATAGGGACCAAAAGAGATAAAGAGCCACAAAATCTTCCCTGACCTCTGCGTCACTGGGGCTCCCATTTTTATGTACTTCTAGTAGCTCCATTCTGGCCGTCCTAAAAAGACAAGACAGAACAAATGCTGGCAGGGACGTGGAGAAAGGGGAACCCTCTCGCGCTGCTGGTGGGAATGTAAATCAGTGCCGCCACTCTGGAAAACAGTATGGAGGTTCCTCAAAAACTTAAAAATAGAACTACCATATGATCCAGCAATTGCACTTCTGGGAATACGTCCAAGAAAACACAAAAACACTAACTTGAAAAAATACACGCACCTCATGCTCACGGCAGCATTATTTACAGTAGACAAGACCCGGAAACCACCTAAGTGTCCATCGACAAAGGAGCAGATAAAGGAGTTGTGGTACATAATATATACAGTGGAACACGAGTAGACGGCATTATGCTAAGTAAAATAGGTCAGACAGAGAAAGACAAATACTGTATGACCTCACTTATATGTGGAATCTAAGAGAAAAATTCATAGAAAAAGAGATCAGAGGCCAAGGGGAGGGGGAGGGGGCCTGGAGGAAGGTGGTTAAAAAGTATCAGCTTCCGGTTATAAGATCCCAAAGTAGGGGCACCTGGGTGGCTCAGTCACTTAACCATCCGACCTCAGCTCAGGGCATGATCTCACCGTTTGTGGGTTCAAGCCCCGTGTCGGGTTCTGTGCTGACAGCTCAGAGCCCGGAGCCTGCTTCGGATTCTGTGTCTCCCTCTCTCTGCCCCCTCCCCTGCTCATGTTCTGCCTCTCTCTCTCTCTCTCAAAAATAAATAAACGTTAAAAAATAAAATTAAAATAAGATCCATAAGTAGTAAGGACAAAAAGTACAGCATGATGACCATAGCTAACGCTGCAGTGTGATATATAGGAAAGGTGTTAAGAGAGCAAATCTCGAGGGTCCTCAGCACAAGGAGAAGATTTCTTTTTTCTCTTTTTGCTTTTTTTCTTTATTGTAGCTATATGAGGTGATGGATGCCAACCAAACATAGTGGTAATCGTTACAGAATGTATGTTCCCAACCATTCTTCTGTACATCCAAACTTATACAGTGATGCATGTCAATTACATCGCCATAAAACTGGAAAAATAATAGCTCCATTCCAGTGAATTGCAGTTGTTGGGTTACATGCCTCTTCCTCCAGGGTTTCTCTGCCTCGGCACTGCTGACACCTGCCTGCATAATTCTTTGCTATGGCCAGGGCCGTCCTGTGCATTGCAGGATGTCAGCAGCCTCTCTGGTCTCTACTCACCAGACCCTACTAACACCGCCTCAAGACTTGACAACCAAAAATGCCTCCAGACATTGTCAGAGGTCATCTGGGGGGCAACCCCCCCCCCTCCCCATTAAGAACCACTGCCTGAACCAGGGGATGTATGGAAGTGTTGAATCTCTATATTGTACACCTGAAACTAATGCAACGCCGTATGTTAACCAACAGGAATTAAAATAAAAACTTTAAAGAAACGGTGCCCCTGCCTGAAACTCTAAGCTCCTGGAGCAATCCTACAAGCAGCAGTGGCAGCAGCAATAGCAATCGTGTTTTCTGAGCACTCACCACGTGCAAAGCCCTTCTCAGTGAGTCATAGAATTTAATCCTCTCAACACCCCAGGGGGGAAGGATTTTAGGCACATTTTATTGATAATGAAACTGGATCTCAGAGAGGTTAGTAACTTGCTCACGGTGTGTTTTATTTTCACCTTTTCTATCCTCAGCACCTAGCATGTTACCTGATACAACAGGCGTTCAATAGCAAGTTAAAGAATGCATGGATGAGGGGTGCCTAGGTGGCTCAGTCCATTAAGCATCCAACTTCGGATGCATCCGTTGATGCAAAGATAATGTGACATGACCTTTTTCCCCAAGATCTCACTGTCTATGGAAGGAAATTTCAAGCATGAATCTAGATTCAATTCAGACCACCGTTTATATGTATTGCAGCTAAATAAAAAGGGTCTCATCACAACAAGTATAATCCCATTCTTACTTAAAATTACTCCAGAATTGTTTCCCCCCTTTTCTATGGCATTCTAGGCCTTAAATCCAGCACAGATTAGTACCACACTCTCATCACCACAAACTTGACGGCGGTTTTTCACAAAAGAAGAAAACAAAGACAAAGCTATCCAAGAAAGAGTAATATAAAACACCACCCTTAGATCTGACAGGGTTTTTTTCATAAAAATTACAGGAACACAGGTATGAAATCATATTTATTCCCAGAGGGGGAGGTGGGGAGAGAATGTGTATTTCTAGGTATTGAAGAGTCAAGTCAGATTATCAAAATTTCCTTAAAGGAATATAATTGCTATGAAGGTTCCAGATCATAGGTAGCCCCCAAATTCATTTACCCTATCAGTGCAGTTAGAAAGAAAGAAAGAGAGAGAGAGAGAAAGAGAAAGAAAGAGAAAAGAAAAGGAAAGGAAAGGAAAGGAAAGGAAAGGAAAGGAAAGAAAAGAAAAGAAAAGAAAAGAAAAGAAAAGAAAAGAAAAGAAAAGAAAAGAAAAGAAAAGAACGAGCCAGGCCAGTCTTGCAAATCCTGCAATATCCTGGATTGCAGTAACCCTTAGAATTTAATGCAGATAATCCCAGAGCAGAAGGAGTTGTGGGAGCCATCTTTTCCATCCCTCTGCCTTGCAAACTTTAGAAGCCCTGGAAAGACGTGGCTCTCCCTTGCCTCCATGAATGTCACCACCATCCACCAGGACCTACTCTTCCTGGTTCAGGAGGGTATACAGGATAGGAAATCAATTTTCAGCCTCCAAGGAAGCCATCCACCCTCCATCTCCCACATGGTGGAACCCTCCAACCGGGCCCCCGACCATTTCACTTCCTCCCTCTGGGACTTGACTCTCTGCCCTTCACAGACTTCTGAAGCCTCCTGTTTCACTTCCTCCCATCACTCCACCTGAGAGGACTCTCTGTCTCCCATGGCCCTCCCATGGCCAAGTTCACCCCTGCCGAGGCCACCCCCACCCCTGCTTTCACTGCCTCGCTTCTCTAGGTAGTAGCTCAAAGTTCTCTGCCTCCATCTTTTTATGGGTGCTATTTTCTTAATACCCAAGCTATGCAAGGGCCTTAGCACGGTGCCTGATACAATAAATGTTCAAAAACAGTAATCTTGATTATTCCTATTACTGCTGTCTTTATTGTATCCCCATAAATCCACCACAATGGCCCTCCCAAGTCACCAACAGCCTCTCATGCCACCTCTGGTGGTCTTTACTCCACTTTCACTGACTTGAGATGGGTTAATACAACGCTGTTTGTTTACAATTCTTTCTGTGGCACCTAGGGCACCCTCTTGGCCCAGCAGCTCACGCAGACTTCAGAATCAGGAAGTTAATCAGTACACACAGGTGGAATGAATTGGAAAAACCAAAGCCTTTTTGCCTGCCGCTGCCTCCGGCCACCTCCTCCAAAAGCAGGTGGTGCGAAACAGAGCCCACTCGTCACGCGTCAGGGCATCAAGGCTGTGGCACGCACGTTCCCTCTTCCCCCTGATCATCACGCGCCTTACTCTCGGGCTCCTTGGAGGTCTCAGCTCACAGGTCGCCTCGCCGGAGAAGACCACCCTGACCATCAGGAGCATCTCAACCAAAGGCGAAACTCGGTGAGCTCCAAGGACAGAACCAACGCTGTCCCTTCTCACCCCCTGCTCACCTGGATCAGCGTCTCCAGCTCCTGTGGGCTCACGCAGATATGGTCCCGCAGGAATTCTGCCTTCTCCAAGGCGATGGTGTTCTTCTGGCTGCTCTCGAAGGGCTGTTCCAGCGCCCGGAAGACCAGACCGCCCGTGACGAGGTAGACCACCACGACCACAAAGATGGCAACGACCGTTTTCCACTTCATGACGGTCTGCAGGCCCCCCTGGGGGGCGCCTTCCATTCTGGCTACCACCGTGGCTCGGGAGGAAACGGACAGGCGCGGGGCCGCGTGGTGCCCGCTAGTGGCACCCTTGGGCTGGCACACCGGGGGTGCTGCTGCCGGAACGGCCACTGAGAAACAGGGTGGAGGACAGGGGGAGAGAGAGTTTGTTTATGAACACAAGACACAGAACTTGGCAGAAGCAAAGCGCAGATGTCTTTCTCAAGCCAGCTTTCAAACGTGAGGATCACAAACCGGCTCCCCAAGCCGGCAGGGAGGGAACCTGATCAGTTGTGAGGCGCCTGTGTGAGTTCTTGAAAAATGGGCACCAGGAGTTCCGGTTTAAAAAAAAAAAAATAGTATTAATTGAGTTTGAAATGCTTATATTTCTCTACAAGGTCCAATTCTGAAAGCCCGTGATTTATACTTCAGCTCTTGCCTTAGCTTCCTTGGTTAAACGATATATAAGATAAATGACAAACCACCATATTTGAAATACAGACGTATTATTCAACTTGGAGAGGAAATAAATCGGAGATGGACGCCCAACGACTCTGGCCACATACTGAGGACCGGGTGATAACCAAGAGCAAAGGAGAGACTAACATCTAGCGAGTTTCAAAGTCCCTTTCATCCAGGGTCATGGTCACAAAACAAAGAAGGGTGAGCTTGGCATCAGGGAAACAAGTCAAAACTCAGACACAGTAGGGGTGCCTGGGTGGCTCAGTCGGTTAAGCATCCGACTTTGGCTCAGGTCATGATCTCACGGTCTGTGAGTTCGAGCCCCGCGTCAGGCTCTGTGCTAACAGCTCAGAACCTGGAGCCTGCTTCAGATTCTGTGTCCCCCTCTCTCTCTGCCCCTCCCTTGCTTATGCTCTGCCTCTCTCTGTCTCAAAAATAAATAAAAATATTGAAAAAAAATTTTAAAAAAAAGCTCAGACACAGTAAAAAAAAAGTTTGGGTTTCAGAAGAGTACCAAAGTGAAAAAAAAAAAAAAAAAAGACGGAGTAGAATGAGGGAAGGAATAATGAGTGACGTTTTTATGCCAATAATTTGGTTTCCTAAAAAAAGAAGAAATAGATTCAAAGCACATTTCTCAATAGAAAATTCAGTGACTTAGATGTAATCACTCCTGATCTATTAGTAATAGAATTTTTCTTCTATTTTCCTCCAAAAAGAAGCCATTGGAAAAGAAATCTCCCCTCGTGTTGAGAACACATCGAATTCTCAAAGGTCCCTGGTCTCTGTTAGAGCAATTTCGTTACCTTGGAAATAAATATGTTAAGCTGGAGGCTTTTCTGGAATGGCAGGAGGAACAGGGTAGCATTGCACACGTAATGCTATCATGCATTTCAGAAATCTGTCTTGTGCAGCAGTGAGCAGACAGTGCACCTCAATTTTGTTCTGCCCTCATTATACTAATGCTTATTATAGCCTCTGCCATAGCGCAGCCTGGCTGTTGTGTAAATAAGGTATTAGGAGATGACAACCCCAATTACCTAAGTGGGGCCAACAATCCCACTCAAGAGCGCTCACTGCTCAGTCCCTGCCTTGGGGAACTCAAGATAAATAAAAGCACGGGGATGTCCCTGCCTGTTCACAGCACCAATGACCCTGACAATGCCTGGCCAGAAGGGTGGCCACCTCCAGGAATCTAGGTCTGTAAACATCTGCCTTTCCTCCTAGGGCCTCAAAATCAACTTTTCTCTTGAAAACCAAGCAATCAACCTTTTATTGTATCTTATTCTAGCAAATAAAATCATTATTGTTGATAATCGTATATAACCGCTGCAAATAAAATGTTAAATTTCCTTCTGACTTACTGAACCCAAAACTGCCTGGAATCTCTGATTGAAAGATTTAAGAATTAGGATCAGCACTGTCGGCATTATGTTCTTGCTAATCCTTCCCCCAAAACACTACTTCCGGGTTCCTACTAGCCCTTGTTGATAATGAGGTGCGTCTTGTCTTAGGCAGCTTGCTTTCAGCCTTGCCCCCATGTTTCCCATTCATTCAACCTCCCCACTGTATCTCAGTCCCTTGCGCCTCTCACCATTCCTAGGACTACCAACCTTAACTCATCTTGCTTGAACCAATCCAGCAGCTGCCTCAGTGACCTCCCTGCTTCCAATCTCACCCATCTTTGACAAATCTGGGGTCAAATACCACTTCCGGAAGCACTTCCTCCCCTTTCCTCCTGCGGCCTCTGTGGACGGTGGAGCAACGGCCCCCAAAGATGTCCACATCCTAATCCCTGGGCCCTATGCCTGTGTTACCTTACAACAGGAAAGGAACTTTGCAAATGTGATTAAGTTAAAAATCTAGAGATAGGGAATTATCCTAGATTATCTGGGTGGGCCCAATATAATCACAAATTTCCTTCTAAGAGGGAGGCAGGACAGTCAGAGAAAGACATGTAAAGACAGAAGCAGAGGTCACAAGCCAAGGGATGGAATCAACTCCTAGAAGCTGGAAGAGACAAGGAACAGACTCTCCCCTAGAGGCTCCAGAAGGGTTCCATCCTGCCCACACCTTAATTTTGGCCCAATGAGACTGATTTGGAACTTCTGACCTCCAGAACCATAAGATAATAAAGATGTATTCTTTTCAGCCACTAAGATTGTTACAGCAGCAACAGGAAGCTAATACACCCCCACTAGATGAGATCTCTCTTGACCCACACTCACTGCCCTGTGCTGTTAATAGAGCCTGTTTACTTGTCACTCGACTTAGAGCTTTAGGAGGGCAGGCCCCGGGTCTACCCTCTCACCTCTGTACCCCAGTGTCCTGTATGGTGCCTCCCACAAGAGGCGCTGATAAAATGAATGAAGAACAGAAGGAAGAGACGTGGGCACGTCCGAACCGCGCATACAACGTGGATGAGTGGTGTTCAGCGGGAAACCGCTTGGCACCCCAGGAGCCAAGAGCAGGTGCTCCAACACAGCAGTGCTCTGCTCACGCCTCACCCCTTCATGGATGTTCCTCTGGTCGGCAGCCCCGTCCCCACCTTCACCTGCCTGGGAAACTCCCATCCGCCTCAATCCCAGCTCCAAGCCGCCTCCCCTGTGAAGTCATCCCGGACTCTCCAGGCCCACCTGGCGTGCCCCTCGCCCGACGAGTCTACAAATTCCTTAGAGTCTGAAAGCTTGTCTTTTAATGGTTGGATCTCCATTTCTCGGCATAGTGCCTTGAATAGAGCAATTGTTTGTTTTCTGTTGTTGTTGTTGTTGTTGTTGTTGTTGCTGATTCCTTCAAACCATAAACAAAAGCCCCATCAGTCACCACCACCCTCAGTAACAAGCATTTGTGTAATGCCAAATGAGCACGAGGCGCTGTGCTGTGGTGGTCACAGTCCCTCCCAGCTCCAGGGGTTTGACAACCCACTTAGGGGACATCCTCCACACTGACAGGTGATAACCATTAGGAGGAAGCCTAATGACGGCCTTGAGCTCGGGGGTCATCTGTAGCTGGGACTCATTCACGGACTTGCATCATGGATGTTTCCAGGGCTTTTAGCATCCCTGAGGCTGAGCAGAATTGGGCTTGAGAAAGGTCTTTTTCAGACCAGTTCCTGATGCCCCTCTGCTAAGGGCCAGTCTCTGGGAGCAGAGTCTGAATAGAATCCACCAATCCTGAGTTTCCAAATCACCAGGAGTAAAAACCAGAACTTCAGTCCCAAATCTATCAGTGGCTGGGTGACCTTGAGACCGCCATTTAGTTTCTCTGTTTCCTTATCTTCGAAAGGTGGATGATAAGGACTCAGTTGGAGGGTTGGGGGGCTGGTGGGATTAAAATGAGAATAACATGACTTCCAAGTCAGTCCTCTTCTGGAGCATAGGAAACAGAAAAATAGGAACCAAAGAAATTCCCTTGGTGGAAAGGGCCCTTTTATCTAAAACGTATCAATAACGGATGGGTCATATAAAGTAATGATCTATCATTCTTCACGACTCCCACAGAAAAGTATCTGGCAGCAAAAAACACTGCCAAGAATTGATGAGAAGGCAAAGCCTGGAAGATAATACCGTAAGTTAATTTTCATTTTAAAATGTTTCCTCACAGGGGCACCTGGGTGGCTCAGTCAGTTAAGCCCTGACTCTTGATTTCGGCTCAGATCACAATCTCATGATTCATGAGATCAAGCCCTGCATCAGGCTCCGTGCTGTTAGCGCAGGGCCTGCTTGGGATTCTCTCTCTCCGCCCCTCCCCCACTCTCACTCTCTCTCTTTCTCAAAATAAATAAACATTTAAAAAAGAAAAGTACAGGATAAAAGGTTTCCTCATAAACATCTGCCCATTCTGCTTTTACCGAAACACGGGTAGACATGGGAGCACGCGTGCAAATCTGCTCCTTCTTGGTTGAGCAAGCTGTTAGTAGTTTTGAAGTTTTCAGGCTTTCCCAGGCCCTATACTTACCGCATCACCCATTCTTGCACTCAGTCAACAAACATTTGAGTCAGCTGGGCACTGTGCTGGGTCCTGAGGACACAGAAATGAGTAAGATACGTCCCTGCCTTCAGAGTCAGTGGGAAAATTGACGAGGGTCTCACCCACACGTGAACCTAGTTCGTCGTCACAAAACCTCCTGTGGAGAACAGTTGTCATTATCTACCCCTCTTGACAGGTGAGGCACTGACAGGTGACCCTGACCAGCCTGTCCCAAGCAGTGGCATCCTTGGATCTGTCTTCACACACCTAACCCCGGATGCCTTCCGCTCCTCCAGGCCGCTCGAAACAAATGACATCCGCGGGATTCAGGGTTTCTTGGAAACGTGGAACGCGGCCATCTCAGAGGTCCGCTGTCACGCAGTCATGTGACTCTGCCTATTGACCCAGGCAAAGTACAAGTGATTGCAACACACTGGCGAGAAGCAAAGAACTCCTGCCCCCCCCCCCCCCCCCCCCAGCCCTCCCAGGTCTGGAATCGGTCCGGGGCCACCTGCACGGACAGCTCAGAGCTTCCGGAGAGCTCCAGGTGGAAGCTCAGTCTGGAATCCTCAAAAGGCTTCCCTGGGGGTAGTGCACAGGGTGGGTGTCAGGAAGAGGGAAGGGGTGATGGGGAGCCCCACCTGCCTGCAGTTGTCCCAGAGGCTGCTTTCACCTCTGCCATCCTCTAAGAAGAGCAGACAGG